TCTTCACGGAGACTTCAGAGTTGTCTACCGCTGACGAAGCTTCTGTGAGAGAAGCAAAACGTCCTTTTTTGTTTTTTGTTTTTTACCCACAGGTACAGATGACGACTGACAGAACCCTTTCTACGATGGAACTTTCCTGTACGACTGAGAGCCTCCACAAGCATTAGTGTTAGGATAAGCGGCTTGGATAGTGGATGGATGCTCAACCTTAATGTGCATGAATAAACTTACCATTGCCATTGGGAATGTCACAGCTCGCGACAGCTAAATGCAAACGTCTCCACAGGGCTGCATATGGACTTGCCCGACGATGCAAATAATGTAGGTATAGCTCTCTCTGGCAGGGTGTTTCCGAGCGTTTGCTGTCTCACAGAATCAAATATTCCCCTCCAGCAAAATAACACATTCCTGTATAATGACATACTTGTCAGGTTTCCGATAAGCTCCGGACAAAGAAGCAGGAAAAAGAGAAACCACAAACTCTTGCAGAAGGCAAAGAACAAGATAAATTTAAATTGCTTGTCACTCAAAGGACATGGAAATAGATATTCAAAGTCAGTGGCGGATGCTGATCTGTCAAGGAGGGGAAGCTCAATTTCGGCCTACATCATAAAATTGTCCGTTTATTTATACGTGAATTCTACTCTCCGTTACTTTTCAAGAACATGTTTTGTGACCCTGTCATACCAACAAGGCGTCTGTCTTATCCAGGGACTTCACTAGTGTCCTACAACTACAGCAACTACAATAAAACCCACCAGAAATAAAAGATTAATTCGTCACTTGTCGTTTTCAACAAAAATAGTGTTGCTAAGATGATTAAAAGAAGTCTCCAGTTAAATTCAGAACAGAATGAGAATTGAAAAATGCTCCCACAGATGCTTACACCAAAAGATCGGTGATTGGCTGATTTTGCTGTCAATCAAAAAGAGATTCAGTCTCAGACTGATCATCCAATCATCATGCAGAAAAGCTCAGCGTCCGGTCCAGCCGATAAACGCCCACCGTCCATGGACTCCCAGAGATGCTGAGCGCCCGGTGGGCGGGACAAAAACAGCATTTGTCCAATGACTCGTTTCGTTTCAATGCATTGGGACAACCTACACTGAACTCTCTAGACGCCCAGCGTCAGCGCTGTGGACGCTCAGTCCACACAGTTTAAAGCACAGTGAAGCTGCGGGAATGAATGAGAAGAGAGTCGCGTCGTAAACCAGTAATAAGAAGCTGATTCGGAACAAAAGTTGAGTGCGTTGTAGCGCAAATATAGTCAATGACATATCCACACAATTGTATGAATACACATTTATTTGATCACTTATTTTTTGACGTTAAGTCTAAGAGCAATCGCCTCTGATATATATATATATATATATATATATATATATATATCAGTGTTGTGTCCAAGGACCGGCAACCCGAGGCCAAGGCCAAGGCCAAGGACT